GAAGGAGACAGAGAGCTACTATCCTCGAGCTGGGGACAGCTGAGCCCCGGGCAGAGGACCGGGACTGCCAACTCTTCCTGCGTCTGTTTGGTCAGGAGGGTCCCTGAGGGAGGCCTCTTCCCCTCCCTCCGGCCGTGCCCTGGTCCCAGGACAGCCAGCACTGGGCCGGCAGGTCTGCTGGGGCCTGGGGCGGAAGCGCGGCTGGGCGGCCCCGGGGGAGCGGCGGAGATAAGCGGCTTGGAGCTCCCGGGGCAGAGGGGTGGCCGCCTGGCGTAACACCCATAGCGCCAGCCTGAGAAGTGCGATAGTGCAGGCCCCGGCCCCCACACTCCTGGGAGGAGCCCTGTTCCCAGAAGTCTGTCCCTGGACACTGCCGTCAGCCTCGGAGTTCATTTCCTGGTTAAACAAACATCTGTAAGAAACGGGCCCAGTGGGGCCACGCCCAGGAGCAGCTTCGGAGGAGAGTCCCGGGCACATGGCTCTGCCGGGCCCCCTTCTTGTCGGGCTGGTGATGATGCATCCATCACGGGCACAATCAGAAAGCAGGACGGCCCCGTGTCCCACCCGGAGTCGGCCCGAATGGCGGGAGGGCTGGGGAGGGACGTGCGGAGTGGCCCGGGCCCAGAAGCGCCTCCCGACAGCCTGCAGCCTGTGACAATGGCGCTGGCGACAGCTCCAGAAGCTTGGGCGGGACATGACCCCTCCGTCCATCACCTCCTCATCCGGGCTGTGCAGCGGGGGGACGCTGACCCCCCAGCTTCCCGATGAGAAAGCAGGCGTCTGAGCGGGGCTTGCGCTCGGTCCTGCCGGGTGGTGAGTCGGGTCAGGAAGCGTCCCGACTTCCAGCCCTGGGTGCCAGCGTGGGTGCTGCTCTGAGGCAGGGGTTGGGCACCAACCCTGGGCGCCCCTGCAGTGTTGGACGCCTGCCGCCATCCGGGTGTTTCCGGATTGGAAGGCTCCGCCTCCCTCAGTGAACTGAAACCCCACTTACTGAGCGCTTGCCGAGGGCCAGGCACGCTGTGAAGTGCATCAGGGTTGGAGCTGACTCCCTGTGGCTGAGTCCGGCGTCTGCCCCTGACAAGCTGTGACTCTGGGCAAAGGGTAGGACTTAGTTGTGCCTCAGTTTCCTCATCTGTAAAATGGGTCATAATAGCAATTACCTCCTAGGTTGTTGGGAAGGTTCGGTGAGACAATATATGTGAAAATCCAGAGCTAAACTCAAGTGTTCAGTAAATGCTGGCTCAGATGGTAAAAAAAAAAAAAACTCCCTGCAATGCAGGAGACACAGGTTCAATCCCTGGGTTGCAAAGATCCCCTGGAGAAGGGAATGGTGACCCACCCCAGGATTCTTGCCTGGAGAATCACATGGACAGAGGAGCCTGGCGGGCTGCAGTCCATGGGGTTACAGAGTCAGATCATTAGCAGGTATTATTATCAGCCGTGTTTTCCAGATGGAGCTGGGAGAAGAGGAGTAACTTGTCCAAGGGTGTAAGTGTAGGAAGGGGTGGAGCCCAGGACTTGAACCCAAGCCTTCCCACCCCAGAGCACAGGGCTCAGCATCAACCTGGACACAAGTGAGAATGGACACACAGGCCCCTGGAAGATCGGCGGTCGTCTTGACTCTCGTCTTCGTCTCATAGAACGCATCTCCTGACCCGTCCATCCTCTACAAATGAGTCTCATTACGGAAGCTTGACTACAGGGTTTCCTTAACCGTCCAGACCCGTACCGGCAGGATACATTTCCAGTGTGAGAGTTTTGTTTCCGAAGCCTTTTCGCGTGCGGGAGTCTGCAGGACCCCTGCTTGGGAGGTGGGCTGCCCTCGGTGGCCACAGAGCCCACAACAGCCCTGCGGATGCAGAAGACAGACTTCGACATGGTGCCTGTTGGGGACAGGAGGCCGGGTGAGACCTCACAGGATTCCCCCTGCTCTGCCGCAGAGGGGGCAGTGAGAGGCCAGAGGAGGGACTGACCACGGGCCCACGTTCTGCTGAATCTGGGTGGCCTTGGAGAGAGCGGAATCTCCAAAACACTGTACTCTTACTCAGGAAGCAGTTAGCGACAGACCAGTCAGGGAAGCAAGCTCATGTATTGAGCACATACAATGTAATCTCAATTCCATTTGTTCATTCAAACGTGTCTTGAGCTTCTCCTGTGTGCCGGGGCAGCGTTAGGTAGTGTGACTGCCATAAAGAAAAGGATGCAAGAAGCAGGTTAGAGCGGAGGTGCCCACGGGGGCGAGCTTGTGCCCCAAGGGCCATTTGGCAGCGTCTGGAGGCACATCTGGTTGTCACAGCTCGGAGCCGGGCTGTGGCTGTCATCCGGCAGGCAGAGGCCGGGGATGCTGTTGCTGGGCGGCAAGAACCGTGGGGCCCAGAATGTCAGCGGGGACAAGGCCGCTGAGAACCTTGAGTGAGACCCAAAGAGAGACCCAAAGTGAGAACCCGGGGTGAGACTGGTCATGGATGGCCATGCTGAGGGTGTGTGTGGCTTTTCAGCAGAGACCCGAAAAAGTCCGAGAGTGAGAATGAGAAGATTCAGGAATTCCTTGGTGGTCCAGTGGCTAAGACTCCACGCTCCTGATGCAGGGAGCCCAGGTTCCGTCCCCGGTCAGGAAACTGGATCCCACATGCCGCAGCGGAGAGTTCACACGTGCGGAGCTCATTCGCTCAGTTGTGTCTGATTATTTGCGTCTCCGTGGAGTGTAGCCTGCCAGGCTCCTCTGTCTGTGAGATTTCTCAGGCACGAATACTGCGTTGGGGTGCCATTCCCTTCTCAGGGCATCTTCCCGACCCAAGGATCAAACCCGCGTCTCTTGCATCTCCTGCATTGGCAGGCAGATTCACATACCACAACTAAAACTCCATATCCCACAGTGAAGATCAAAGATTCCACATGCTGCAACTAAGACCCAGTGCAGCCAAATAAATAAGAATAAATTTTTTTTTAATTAAAAAAAAAGAGTGAGAAGACCTGGGGAAGAGTGTCGCAGGCAGAGGGAATGGCAAGCGCGAAGGCCCTGAGTTAGGAGGGCATCGTCCCAGAGCCAGCATGTGAGACCGGCTGGTCACTCTCCGCGTGTTTCAGGTGAAGAAGCAGAGGCTCCGAGGTCGCGGTGCGCCGGCCGTCTCACAGGTACACGGTGCCGGGGCCGGGGTTGGAACCTGGTGCGCTCAGTTCCAGGGTCCGTGTTCCTCTGCCTCCGCTGCTGCTGTCGGAGGAGTGGCTCGGCCTTGACCCCGCGGTGGGGGCCGTTCCCTGCTTGGCCCTGAAGAAGATTTGTTCCGGCTCCATCCCTGGGTGCTGGGTTCCATTCCTGGTGCCGCCTCCGGGCGCAGAAACCGCAAGCATAGGGAAAGCTGATGCTCTGTAGCGTTTCCCGTGTGCCAGCCTGTTCCGGGTGTGTGATGCAGATGCGGACACAGCCGCGGAGAGAGCGCTTCCTCTGTGCACGTCTGTGTGTGTTAGTCTCTCAGTGGTGTCCAGTTCTTCGCAACCCCCTGGACTGCACCCCGCCAGGCTCCTGTGTCCATGGGGATTTCCCAGGCAAGAATACTGGAGTGGGTTGCCATTTCCTCCTCCAGGGGATCCTCCCGGCCCAGAGATCGAACTCAGGTCTCCCGCATTGCCGGCAGATTCTTTACTCTCTGAGCCAGCAGGGAAGCTCCATGTGTGTGTGCATATATATGTACAGACACACTTGTTTAAACTTCGCAATATGCATGTATGTGAGATGCCATTATAAGACTGTGCCCATTTCACAGATAGGAAAGTCGAGGTACAGCAAGGTAAAATGACTTGTTTAACAAGTACGAGGCAGAAGCGGGATCTGAGCCCAGACTGCCTGGTTCTGGTGTCTGAGCAGTTGCTCCCTTGACAGGCGGTGCGTTTTCTGGTCGTGGGAGTAGATCGTCACTTCTCAAGTGTAGTAGCTCAGAGGTTGAGCGGAGAAGGGCCTTCAGAGGTCACTCTGCTCACGCACACGGGAAGCTGAGGTCTGACCTGAGAAAGTGACTCTGCAGGGCCACACGGGGAGGGGATGAGAGGCCAGGAGACGTGGGGCCCCCGGCGCCCTCTGCTCCACCGCTACTCAGCCTCCCAGCCTTACCCGCACAGGCGCCGTGTCCGTCCCCCGTCACTGCCCCGCAGGATCTCTGCTGGTCCGGATCCTCTGCAGTGTCTGATGCTGGCAAGTCTGGGGCCGCAGGAGGTGCCCGTGGCAGAAGGCCGGAGCCTCTGCCTCCACCCCACCCCGTTTGTAGCCAGAATCTCAGTTATTCTCCTGTCTCAGAGGTGCGGAGGCTGTGGTTCAGATGGGTTAAATGGCTCACCTTCACAGTCAGCCAGGAGAGTCAGTGCTTCCCAAGTGGCCTAAATAGTCATTCATTCTTTGGTAACAGAGGAGGGCAGCCCTGTGCCGGGCACTGGCTGCAGAGACTCACCTCCCAGGCCCTGCCTCCGGGGAGAGGCAGTTGGTGTCCTGAGAGATGCTGCCCAGAAAGGACACCTAACCCAACCAGCTGGGGAGGGGAATCCAGAGGGCTTCTTGGAGGAGGCAGTGGACACCATGGCTGAGTCTCCAAGGATAACTGGGAGGTGGGCAGGCAGAGAGGGAGAGGCCTCTGGGGACAGTACAGAATCAGGAAGAGAGGGCTCGCTCGGCCCGGAGAACCTCAGGCTGCTCAGAACCTGCCCGGCTGTGGGCGGAGTCCCCTTGGGCGGCTTACTAAGCCCGCAGGGGGCAGCAGGCCCCGGGCTGGGCATTAGATGCTGCTGATGTCCCGTCCCCATTACAGGTGGGCCAGCCAAGGTGCGGTGAGGCTGAACACCGCCCTGGTAGTGAGTCCTGGGGGGCAGGATGGCTGAGAAGCGTGTGGAGTCCTCCTCCGACAGCGTGACGGTCCTTCTGTTACCCCGACTGGCGCCTGTGGAGCTGGGCTTCCCGTCCTGCCACCCCCGTGGGTATGGCCCCTCCTGATGACTCTGTTTTCCTCCCGCAGGTGGAGGGACAGTCCAGAGCCCACGTCATCGCGCAGGAGCTGCTGTCTTCAGAGAAAGCGTGAGTCCCTGAGCCGCGGCCCATGGCCTTGAGGTTGATAACAGAGTGTCAGCCCCTGCCCGGCTTGTGCAGAACGAGAATTAATGCCCACTCCACCCTCTCTCCCCCTGCAGATACGTGGAGATGCTCCAGCACTTGTATCTGGTGAGTTAGTCATTTCAATTGTCCAGAGCGAATTGCCCTCTGACACGGCTATGATACAAGGGGCAGAAAAGCAATAGAGGAGACAGAGGTGCCTTCCACTAGCAGAGACCCCGTTCACCGGGGCTTCTCAGGGAAGCCGGTCCCCTGATTCCTGTGCTTCGGGGGGCGGATGGCATGGGCTTCCCATGGAGCTGCACTCTGCCTGGGTAGGGGGTGGGGGGTGTATGGGGAATGTGCTAAGGTTTCCGGAAGGGTGTTTGCAGTCTCCTTGACGCTCAGATTGAGGAAGACAGAAGGAAGACAGGTGTCGTTCTGGGTCGTCGCTGTGTGTGTTGAGTTCAGATGTGTGGGGTGGGGGCGCATGTACATGTACATGTAGTGCGCGCACTGTGTGTTTAGGCCTCTGGGGAGAGGGTGATGTGTTTGCAGAATGGCCCAAGCAGCTGGGGTAGTGAGAGTTTATCTCAGTCACCCTGGCATTGGGGCAGCAGTGCCTGAGCCCGTGGGAGGGGCGGGGGCAGTCCTCTGGACTTTGAGAGGAAAGGAGGCCAGATTGGGGACTGCCTGGATTTGCAGCTTGACCACCCTCCACAGCCCGCCACACTGCCTGCAGTCTCCCTGAGCCATCCGTTCCCTTCCGTTCAGTCAACACTTTTTGGACACACGCTGTGTGACGGGAGCTGGGGGTGGAAAGTGGGATCAGACAGGGCCCTTCCCCAAGGGCAGTCTGGCCAGTGAAGGAGACAGATGAGATGGGTAGTTATCCGGAGCACGGGGGAGTAACTGACAACCTCAGGGAGTCTCGGCAGGCTTCCTGGAGGAGGTGGCATTGGGACTGCGTCATAAGGAGGGGCAGGGGAGAGGGCACATCAGAGCCGCAAGGACACGCGTCACATAAAGGCTCTGGTGGCAGCTCCCGGCTCGGCCGACCTCTCACCGTCTGCGGGCTCCTCGGAGGTCGCCTTCTGGTCCTCTGCTTCGTATGATCCCTTCCGTCTTTCCAAGAGCATCAGGGCTGGGAACGTCCGTCCTGAACGTTGTGTCGGTGGTGACATGGAGGCCCAGAGGGGGTGACTCGGCCAGGGTCACGCGGTGACCGACCCGGGATGAAGTCCCGGGTCTCCTGATTCCTGATGCGCTCCCGTTGCGTGTCGGGAGCTCCTCGGCGCGGGGGCCTCCCTGGAGGCAGCAGGCACCGGCGCCCAGCCAGGTCTTCGGTTGAATCCCGCTGAGGTCCCTGTCGGTGACATCACCCTGGTGTCCTGTTGCTGCCAGGGTCCCCAGGAGGGGGACAGAGCACTGCTGATCTGTGCTCCCAGCCCCTGGTTTTCGCCCTTCTAGCTCAGGACTTTTTGTGCAAGGTTAAACTCCCATGCCCTTGGGTGTGAAGCGAACCAGCCCCAGGGATGAACCTCAAAGATGCATTTAGCAACGGCTACGGGAAGCACGACTCTCCCGCGGCTGATGTTCTCTCGCTTGCTTCTGAGCTGGCCGTATATCCGAGGGGCTGGGCCTTTCTGTTTTATGACTTCGTTAAGAGGGTTCTAACTGGGAAGCTTCCATCTGGGCTTGGACTGCCTCCTGCCAGTTGGAAAGATGCTGAAACCGCTGGTAATCCATGACAATATCCTGAGGAGGGAAAAAAAGAGCCCATAAAAAAAAAAAATCACAATTCAGAAGCTAGTGTGGGAAATTGTGGTCTGGATTTGCACTGTGACATCAGTGTTTATAGGGAGAGATGTGGCAGAAACACCCCAGTGAGACTCTTGAGTCCTAGCCAGGGACACTGGTCCAAAGGAGACCACAGACTCTGGGATGTTCTCCACCACTGCCCTCCCCCAGGGTCTTTGCCTGATTGCTGAGGTTGGTGGGTACTCTTAAGAATTTCTCCATGGAGATCCACTGCTGTTGAAATCCCAAGGCTGCCCCGTCGTGGAGAGGGACCAATGGCCCATTCATTCCAGAACACTCCTCAACTCCACTGTGCTCTTGATGAGAGGCAGATGGGGATGGCCTCTGACCTTCTGTGTTTCGGATTCAACTTCATGTTTCTCATGTTGTAGATGGAGCTATCTCTCAGATTAGTAAAATTTCTAGTCATCCGGAATTGAATTCTGATGGTCAGGATCTTGTTTTCATATAGCCTATGAACTAAAAATGGATTTCACATATTTTAAACACTTGTGGGGAAAAAAGGCAAAGAAGAATTATGTGACTGAGACCATATGTGGCTCACAAAGTCTGAAATGTTTATCATCTGGCCTTTACAGGAAATTTTGCTGACTTCTGGTTTAAAGACTTGTTCTGTCCTTCCATGAACCAAGTCCTAAATATATTCATCCACCCATCCACCTGTCTGTATTTTCAATTTCTCATCCACTCATCTAGCCAGGATTTCATCCACTTGTTTTTCCTTTCATCCGTGCATGCAGCTAATGATGTATGTATCCACCCAGTCATTCTTCACACTCCCCATCCACCCATCCACCCATCTATCCATCCATCCAGCCAGCCAGCCAGCCGTCCACCCATCCACCCATCTATCCATCCAGCCAGCCAGCCAGCCAGCTGTCCATCCATCCATCCATCCATTCAGCCATCCACCCACCCATCTATCCACCCAGTCATTCATCAAACTCCCCATCCACCCACCCACCCATCCATCCATCCATTCATCCATCCATCCATCCATTCAGTTGTCCACCCTCCCATCTGTCCACCTAGTCCTTCATCAAACTCTCCATCTATGCATCCATCCATCTATTCATCCATCCACCCATGTATCCCATCATTCATCAAATTCCCCATCCACCTACCCATCCATCCATCCATCCATCCAGTCATTCATCAAACTCCCCATCCACCCATCCATCCATCCATCCACCCACCCATCCATCCATCTATCCACCCACCCATCTATCCATCTAGTCATTCATCAAACTCTCCATCTATGCATCCATCCATCCATTCAGCCATCCACCCATGTATCCCGTCATTCATCAGATTCCCCATCCAGCTACCCATCCATCCATCTGTCCATCCATCCATCCACTCATCCAGCCAGGCAGCCAGCCATCCACACACTCATCCATCCATTCAGTCATTCATCAAACTCCCCATCCATCCATCCATCCATCCATCCATCCATTCATCCGCCCACCCACCGTCTATCCATCTGACTTACCCGTTCCTTCTGGACAGAACATGACAGGATGTTTCCAACACCGTAGGCACTGGGATACGCCTTGGGTCCGCAAGATGGAAAAGGCCCAGAACCTTCCCTTGAGCAGGTGTCTCTTTCTCTGTTGAGGGGAGGGTAGAAGTAGGGAGAACTGCACGTGAGCCACAGGGCTGCTCTGTGGGGAGTGTGACTTGTGCGGATGTCCTCAGGAGCGTGGGGGGTGGACAGGCTTATTCCCCTTGGGTATATCCAGGAAGGTAGGCAGAAGAGCACGGAGTTTGAGGAAGTCCCCAGGCCCGGGTGGTTGGAGGAGGGCAGGTGGTCAACTCAGGAGCACTCCCGGGCCTGAAGGTACATGTAACGTGTGGAGAACGGGCACTGTCAATGCACCTTTAGCTTGGGTGCGTTCGGAGAGGCGGGTTGGAGATGCAATGAGGGGTCAAGTGACTGGTCCAGAGCCAAGGTTAGAACCAGACTGAGACGTCCCTAAAAATGCCAGGCTCGGTGGCTTCTGCTTTTCCTCGCATAGAGTGAGTCACTGGCGATTTTGAAGTGATGTGGTCCTAGCACCTTCAGGTCTCGGTTTTCTCATCTGCAAAACATCCCTCTCCTGGCAGACACAGAGCATTCCCACCCTCAGTCTCTGGGCTCAGACGCTCTAGGCCTGTGCAGAAGCCAGCATGCCGACTGGGAGAGGCGACTCTGGAAGCTGTCGCCGTCTGAGACCCCAGGAGAGGCCCCTCCCCGGGGAGGCCCTCCTTGACCCGATCCTCACCCGTGTCTGCACCGTCTCCTCCGACCACTTCCTCCCTGCTGTCCTGCAGATGCTGTAGACAGTCGCGTCTGTGCGTTTTGCCCCTGTGGTTCTGGGGGAGCCCCGCGAGGCAGGCTGCGGGTGTGGGTTCGATCTGCTGAAGGTGCGTGGGAGGCTGTTGGGTGACCCCCGCAAGAGTGCTGGTGGCCGCAGCGCTGCGGACTGTGAGCCCGGTGACCACGGGAAGGGGAAGGCGGGCTGACTGTTGGCGCGCTAAGGCAGCAAGCGCTGGAGGGGGTCAGGCTGAGCCTGGGGACAGATGGTGGGTTAAGTCGCGGGGGCGGAGGCTGGGGGCTTGGGGAAGGATGTGCATGGGAAGTGTTAGGTGGAGAGCGCTTAGCTGACGCTCCAGGAGAGGGCTGTCAGCCTGAGGCGGGGGCCTGAGGACTGGCAGGCTCTTAGAAAGGAGCAAAACGACTTGGGAGGGGGATTAGGCAGACGCAGTGCAGAAGGGCGAGGAGAGGCTCACGGGTCCGCCCTGAGCCCTCCCTCTGACAGCGACCCCCCACCCCTTCTCGGTGGCGGTGGACATCAGGAGCACCATGGACCCAGCCCGACTCCCCACACTGCCCAGAGAAAGCGGGGAGTCCCTCTGTCTTATCAGCACGTAGGAGGTTCATTTGGCAGCGGCCTTGGTGCTGACATGAATGACTGGGCCAAACACAGGGTCTAGAGGGACTTACCGGAGAGTTTAAGACTTTATTTACCTAAACTGGTGAGCTGTCAGTTTGAGCCCGCTAGCCCCCTTTCCCCACCCGGCCGTGGGGCGCTGGCGGAGCTCCTCCGGCATGCGCTTGGCAGTTTACTGACGTTGGCTCACGCAGTCGCACACGGTTTGTGCTCAGCAACTACTTCTCAGGTGGTTGGGTGGGTCCCAAACTGAGTCCCAGGGAAGGTGACTTACCCAGTCACACAGCCTGTGAGTGGCAGAGCCAGGCCTGTTTGAGTCCAGAGCCCTGAGAAACTGGCTGGTGTTCAGTCGCTCAGTCACATTCAGCCCTTTGC